CCCCATGCTGGTGTTTCGACTATTAACTGCCTTCAATACCACTGACCATAAAGAATTATTGAGTCACTTAAGGATTCTCATATTGATAGACAGATCTCAGCATGTCATTGCAAGGAACTTCCCTTTCTCCTGAAGAGCTCTGATGTGTATAACTCCGCATGTGACTACTCTGTCACCCCACCTATTTAAATGTATACGTCACTGTTACAGTGCTGTAATCCCCAATTACATGTCTCCATTTTTCTGATACACGTCAGTGTCTCACTTCACTGTGTACCTAAGAATGGGGCATGAATGAGACTAAACAAGTTGAAGTGAGCTCAATACAGAGAAGACTATGATGATGGCAAGTTAAAGCAACAGCTGAAAGATGATACAGGTATGATCAGTTCCTTTGACTGAAGGAGTAAGTGCCATTAGTTACTGTGGGTGGGTGATTTTATATACTCAACTGCAGTTTCAGACCCACAGTACAACAGTAAGCTAGGCTTGGAGGGCTGTGACCTTTCCTTTGAGAAGCAGATCCTGTCACTGTTTTGCCACCTCAAAATCAGATTACATAATATGGTGTACATGGGGCTATATGCTAAAGTTATATAAAGTTGGTGCAGAATATAGTGGCTCACTTACTGATCAATGTAAACTGGTAATGTACAACATCACTACTGTGGGATCTGAAGTGGCAGCCCTTTTTCATAGATTGTAAGGCTGGAAGGGACCTCAAAAGATCATTTGGGTCCAGCCCCCTGCACCAAGCAGGAAAGATAACTGCAGGTCATGTGACCCCACCAAGATGACTGTCTAGTCTCTTCTTGAAGATTTCCAGGGTAGGCAATTGCACCATCTCTGGAAGGAGCTTATTTCATAGTCTGGACACCCTGACTATGAAGAAGTTTTTCCTAATGTTGAGCCTGAATCACTCTTACAGGAGTTTGTGGCCGTTACTCCTGGTTTTCCCTCTGAGTGCCCTATTGAACAGCTGCTCCCCTTGATGTACTTGTGTAGTGTAGCAGTAAGCTGCTACCAGGTCCTCTCTCACCCTTCTTTTCCTCAGGCTAAAGAGTCCCAGATCCCTCAGTCTTCCTCACATGGCTTGTCTTTTAAGACTGATCATATGGGTGGATCTTCTTTGGACTCTCCATGTCCTTGTTAAAGTGTGATGCCCAGAACTGGACAAAGTACTCCAGCTGCAGTCTCACTTGTGCTGTGTAGAGCAGAAGAATCAGCTCCTTGGCTGGAGATGCATCAATTGATGCACGCTAGAGTATTATTTGCCCTACTGGCTACAGCATCACACTGCCGGCTCACATTCATACTGTGGTCTATTATTACCCTCAGGTCCCTTTCATCCGTGGTGCTAGTCAGTTTGGTTCCTCCAAGCCTGTAGGTGTGTTGGGGGTTGCTCGCCCCGAGGTGGAGCACTTTACATTTCTCAACATTGAACTTCATCAGGTTCTGATCTGCCCAACTTCCTAGCCTGTCTAGGTCTGCCTGTATCTGTAGCCTATCTTCAAGCATGACCACGCTTCCCCATAACTTGGTGTTATCCATGAACTTGGCCAGTGAGCTCTTCAACCCCACGTCCAAATCATTAATAAGGATGTTGAAAAGTACAGGACCGAGCATTGACACCAGAGGGACACTGCTGCCCAGTTCTTGCCAGGATGACACAGATCTGTTCACTACAATTCTCTGGGTCCCTATCCTGCAGTCAGTTTCTCACCTACCTGACTGTTTCGGAGTTAAGCCCACAATTCTCCAATTTTCTCGCAAGGACATCATGGGATACTAGATCAAACGCCTTTTGGAAGTCTAGGTATACAATTTCAACCTGCTCTTGTGTGTTCAGGTGGTGAGTTACCTGGTCATAGGAGGAGATGAGGCTGGTAAGGCAAGACCTGCTTGCAATGAAGCCTTGCTGGCTGTCATTCAGAACCTTGATTTCTGAATGACAGCCAACAAGCTTATCACAGATAGACCCCTTGATGAATTTTTCTAGGGTTTTCCCTAGAATGGAAGTTAGGCTGACTGGCTCATAGTTAATCAGGTCCTTCCTCCTGCCCTTTTTGTGGATGGGCACAACATTGGCCCTCTTCCAGTCCTCAGGGACCTCTCCAGAGCCCCATGAGTTGTGGAAGAATTTTACCAGGGGTTCCTCAATGACTTCAGCCAGCACTCTTGGATGAAGATCATCCAGTCTTGCTGACTTGCATACGTCTAATTTTATTAATTGGTCATATACCAATTCTACAGCAATAGCAAGAAGGCGATTATTCCTACCGTGGTCATCCTCTACCCTACCTGGAGAGGTTTTCCCCTTGGTCTGGTGAAAGACCGGAGGCAAAGTAGTCATTCAGGAGTTCAGCTTTCTCCTGGGTGTCAGTAACCAGCTTTCCCTATCCTGCAGTCAGCTGCTGAGCAATGGCCCCACACTCCTATTTGTTTTCCTTCTGTTCCCTAGGTATCTAAAGAAGGACTTCTTGTTGTCCTTGATTCCCGTTGCTAATCTAAGTTTGGTTGCCACTTTAGCCTTTCTTATCTGTTCCTTGCAAATGCAGGCTGTCATGGAACGTCCTCCTTGGGACCTGCCCCAAGCTTCCATTGTTTATAAGCCTGTTTCTTCTTTCTTAAGAGGACTGTGATTTCCCTGTTTAGCCAAGAGGGCTTCTCAGCCCTTCTTTTACCTTTTTTCTGCATGGGAATGGATTTCTCTGTGCTTCAAGGATCATGTCCTTAAGGGACAACCACTCTTCGTGCACACCTTTCATCTTCGGCCCCTGGTCCCACAGAACTTACCCTACTAGTCACCTAAGCTTGTTGAAATTTGCATTTTTGAAGTCCAAGACTTCAATCCTGCTATCCCATTTGTCTGCCTTATGTCAGACAGTGAACACGATGGTTTCATGGTCGCTGTTGCCCAGACCTCCCTCTATATTTAAGTCGGTCACCAGATCATCTTCTCTGGCCAGGATCAAGTCTAGCAGAGCAACACCTCTGGTTGGCCCATGCACTTCCCAAGTCAGAATGAGCTCCTCAACACAGGTCAGGAAGGATCGCGACCATTCCAACTTGGCCAAGTATTCCTCCCAGGAAATGTCTGGATAATTAAAATTGCCCAAGACTAATCACCCTTTGGGTTCTAAGTGAAATTTTAAGATGTTGATTATGACCTATAAAAGTCCTACTTGGTCTGCGACTGAGGACTCTCGGGACTTCTTCTACCCCGGTAAGAAAAAGACAAAAATCTGGTGACATTCCAGGCATATTGCAAGACATTTGTTCGGCAGTATTTGGAGACGACTGAGAAAACACCTTCTGCGCAACAAAGAAGGAAAGAGGGTTTTTTTTTTTGGTATCTGGCTGAATTCCTGTAAAAATAATTACTTTATTTTTGCTGGGATTTTATGGTATTACTGGAGGAGATCATGGTGCCTAGTCCATGGTTACTTTAAATTTAAATCAAGAAAAAAAAATAGATGAAGTAAATGAACCACCCCAAAACTGCAATGGAAAACTCATAAGACACACTTTGAATTCATTTTCTCCAAAGCAGTACAATGTTATTGCTTACTAGTATACTATAACGTACCTAGTTAAAAGTTCATCTTATTGAAGAATGTTATGTCATCTTTCACACTAAACTCCCAGGGTAATGACTGTCTGATTCTGCAGTTAGTGCTACCACAATACAAAAAAAGAATGACTTCTTGGGCAATAACACTAAGGTGATATTTAGAGCAAAGATAACGGAAGACATTCTTCATATTTTAAGAACTGCTTTTTCCTAGAGCAACACAAACATTCATTACTTTTGAACTGTTTCACAACTTCATTAAAGTTAATCCATCTCACAAAGATATCCTTTCATCTCTAGAGCTGCCAAACTCTTGGAATATTTGATTGTTCTAAGTATAAGCCAGAACATGCAGTTGTCATACCTTCACATCAGTGCCATCCGTAGGCATGAACTCCTCGTAAATGTAGGAGCCTGTTTTTCTCACGTTGCTTTCAGGGGAGTAAACACTGCTTCTGCTACCAATCTAAAACAAATAGTTTTCTATTAAAAAGGCCACAAATTACTTCTCCTTAAAAATACTGTGCACTCTCTGGTAATTGATCTTTCTGTTTTTTCTTCTGTAATTCAGTTATTTTCCTCCCCTCTGATTTATAGATACATTAAGCCATTCACAGGGTTAGCTATAGAGATCTAACCATTTAGGAAAGTTCAAAAGTATTTAGTAATTTTCCTAAATGATGGAATTTTCTATACCTTAACAAGTACACATTACTCTCTGTACTTCAGTACTAAGGGCACTGGAAGACATTTCATTAGCCTATTAATCATGCCATAAACTACAACATGGTTTACTCCATTTACATCATAAAATGAGACACCAGACACAATATGTCCTACCTATAATGTAGAACATCCTTTGGATGATTTAAATATTGCCTTAAAATTGAAGGTGTGACATGTCTCAGACCCTGACCAACAACCAGCTGATTGTCAGCATTGGCCCAGGACAGACTTGGGTCCTGAACTGAGCCCAGCACAGTTTGCAGCCTTGTCCTGCAGCCTTCTGTGAGACGTACGTCTGGGTATTGAAATTAAAAAATTTAGCGTGGGGAGCTGAATGGTACCATCTGCCATTGGCACGTTTGTAGCTTTTTATGTAGGAGTCTTAGACACAGTCCCTCCCACCCCCACTCAATCTCTCGAATGAGAAAAGGGACTGTCTTAGTTCCCCTTCTGCTGTTCAGTGCAGTGCAGCCCTGGGGACCAGGTCAGGGCCACCCCCTGGCTTATCCCCAGGATTGGGCTGGGAGAAGCCCCTAGTTTCCAACTGGGACCCAGGATTGCCCCATGTTCAATCCTGCATAAGGATGGGGTACAGGGCAGCCCCTGTTCCAAAAACTGTACATGCAGCCCAGTTTGACTGCACATGCAGCATTTAAAAGGCTGGAGGCCATGATCCCAGCACCAGAGCCTCTTTTTGACCTCAGCTTCCTGGTGTCCCAGGTTTTTGAACGCTGTGTGTGCAGCCCATGTTAAGATTAGTCATGGCACAGCTCCATGAACACAGCCAACTGCTGTTCAATCCATGGGATTAGGCTGGAGCAGCCTCACTCCCAGTTTGGCCCCAACAGTGGCACGACTGCAATCCAAGGAATTTTACACTTAATTCCAAGCACAGAATTCCTCAGATCCCAATTATACCATTATTTTAACTCTGCCCGAGGCTTAACAGCACGTTAGGCTGTACCATGTTCTATGTTATATTCAAAGTTACATTACATTGAATTTCAACCCAAATATATTAAATAAATAGTATAAAGGAAAGGCACAATGAACCAGCACCTATTATTTCTGAGGAACTATACTGGAGAGGCAGTGTAGCTTTAGAAGAGCACCATGTGGATGGGCTATATTTAGCAGGGTCATCATCTGTGAGCCAGGTTCATAATTGAGCTTTGATGGATCTACAGCTGTTGCTGCATGCTCAGAATGCAGTGTTGAAAAGCATGCTTTTCCTATCTTCCATGACAAGAAAACTACAACGTTTCATTTTAGAAATGTACTCTGATAGATATTGTATTCAACCTAAGACCATGCAAAAAATCTGTCGTTAAAGAGAAGGTTGCCACATTCTTGATTACCTGCAACTATTCTGGAAGCACTTGATGCCGAGTGTTCCAAAAGCAGCACCGATTGCCTGAATGACAGGTCTGGATTACATTTTTTTTTGGCTTGTATTTTTAGTGCAGTTTTGGGTGATAGGACCATGTTTTGTAAATACCAGTACAGTTCATTTTAATAGGTCTTAAACATTTTAATTTGGGGTGATCTATATTAAAAGGAGAAAAAATGAAGGACTAATTAACTAAATTTTTGGAAGAAGATTGGCAGGCTTCACCTATCCAGTAGCCCAGTAATCAGAACACTTTTACCCCCTTCCTCCTCTCACCCCCTCCTCCCAAAACATCAGAACTGAGATTCAAATCTTCTCTCTGCCTCAGGGATTGTGGACCTCGTCTATCAATTCTTAAGAGAGTCTCCTAACCTCCAATCAAAATTTAGTGCAGAACTGGAAATAGCTTTGAAACAAGGTTTCACACCTCACAGAAGAGACAGATAATTGCTGGATTATCACTACTCCTCCTTTCTCTGATTTGGTTCACTGAATATTTATGGAATACAGGCAAAGTGGTATAGTGTCAACAGGATACCTGTGTTTGTAGATTAAGAGTTCAAATGCCCTCAGGAAGAGGAAGGATTTGAACCTTCATCTCCCAACTTTAGGATAGCTGCTCTAACTACTGGGTTAGCTGGAAAAAGGAAAACCACCACTGCTGCCACCACAGGTTCTCTTCTCTAGCTCTTCATTTCTTTGGCTTTGGTTACAGGTCTCCAACGTAAAATTTTCCTTCAACCCAAAATTATATACGTTATATATACAAATGGAGGGCAGTGTGGCATCTCCTCCAGAGAGACTATAGATAAGCAAGTCTAGAGTCTATAGCAGGGTGGTCAATCTCCAGCTGGGGGCCAAATAAGGCCTGTGGAGCCTTGGCATCTGGCCCTTGGGACTCTCCAAGACTTAAAAAATGTCGTGGCAGGGGAGGAGTGGCCATTAATACAACCACTCTCCCGCCCTGCCAAATTCCCAAATTCCAAGCCCTGCATGCCTGGTCAGAGCCACACCAACTTCCCTCCATGTGGTTGGGCCATGCTTCTCCCCACTGCTACCATCTGCTTAGCTTCAGACAAGCACAACCCCAAGGGTGTGCATGGGTATGTACCTCTCTGTCCAAACAATGAGTTAAACTTTGTGAAAGTTTTTGGATTTCAGACTTGAGCCCTTTTTACTTCTCATGCAGCCCCATGTAATAGAATCAACAAGCAGAGTCTACGATCTACATATTCCCCTGTATTAAAATACTGCTGAGGTAATGTGAGACGACACTCTCACAGACAGCGCGGTTTTTGGCCCAAACCTGAAACCAGATAAGTAAAGTACCAGCAGGGCTGATCCACATGTTGGTGCAGGCTCAAGTGGATTCTTGCAACAGAGCTCTGCTCTATGCAAGGCAGAACTGAAAGAGATGCAATGCTCTAGCTGCTCTGTAAGTGCACCAGCAAAGCTCCTTTAGGCCATGGAGCTCTGTCGGGCCCTTACAACAAAGTTACAACAGTGATTACTTTCAAAGTATAAAAGCCATAATTCTGCTATAGAATCTGGCTTTATATTTTCAGCTTGGAAAGCTCCAATGGAAAGCTACACAAGTTACTTTTGTGTTTGGTCTCTTATATCGCTAAAAACAGACACAAGATTTGAGTAATTCGGTGTGATGGGACATCTGTAATTTCTTTCAGCATGGCAATATTCTCACCTTCCGAAAAAGCCTCTGGCTACCCCCTCCAGCAGATGTTGGATAATAAATGTAAACATTGTGGTCCTCGGCACTAACTGGCTTTTCTACAAATGGCTTTTGGAAAACTTCCCCATTCACTTCCACATGGTCTTCTCCCTCAATCAAATTGCATTCTGTTGGGAAGAACAGTATATACAATAATGGATTATTATACAGAGATGGTCCACTATAGACATCATAATTATTTACTTGCCATAAATGAATTCACAAATATCTTTAGACCTCAGAGGAAGGAATTAGATTTGGCACTAGAATAGCTCCACGTTTGCTTTTTCTTGAAGCTGGGGATTGACCTCAGCTCTTCCTCCTTTCCCTAGATTTGCTCCCAGTTTATTGACCAGACTCCTTTGAAACCCACCTCACAGGAAAGGGAAGTGAGTTAATGAAGGGCATGAAGACCATAGGCTTAAGAAGATGTTTTCAGTGTGCTATTTTAGTTTAACAGTAGTAGGGAAAGCCATTATTTATTTTTTTTGCAGATGCACCCCCAATGCATTAGGTGGCATGAACAATTCATGCCACCTAATGCATTGGGGGTGCATCTGCAAAAAAATAAATAATGGCTTTCCCTACTACTGTTAAACTAGAATAGCATATGATGATGAACTGGAGTTCATGATGAACTGATCCCTGCTCATGATATGCCTTATCTCCATAGGAGTGGGAAAGGAAACAGTTGACTCAGCTGTGTCTGTACTTCTTCTCTATGGGGCACTACAGCTGCATGAAGATGTTAAAAACAAAACCAAACCCCCAAAGCCCCCCAAAAATGCACTTTAAAACACAGTGCATTCCTGTGCCAAGCCTAGAAGAGGCAGAACGTTAGTTGGACCCAGCTTGCCAATGCCTGTATAGATTGGGCATTTTAGTGGGGCTTTTTTGGCACTTTTATCTAATAATTGATTGAATCAGCTTGAGATAAAAGTGCCCAAAAGCCCCACTGAACTGCTCGATCTATACGGATCCTGGCATAGCCAGACCAAAGTAATGTGCTGCATCTTTCGTTAAAGCGTGGGTATTTGGCGGGGGGGGGGGGGGTTTGTTTTTTTTCCCCCCACACATCTGCAAGCAGCCTATAAGGCTATTTCAGCCTATGCCAAAAGGAAGGATACAGGCAGTCCTCAGACTTACGACACAACTGGTTCCTGAAAACCACGTCTTAAGTCAAAATGTCATAACTCGAAACCACTTTTCCCATAGGAATAATGTTATAAATGGGGGATTGGTTCCTTTACGATGCTGGATATAGTTGCATCCAGCTGTTAAGTCCAGTGTGGTGGAAGGGGAGGGGGAGGGGAAGGGGTATGGGTATGCAGACCAAGGCCCGCCCCCCCGTGGTGAGGGAGGGGCTAAGGCAAGTTGCTTGTCTGGTGGGCCCTGCTGCTC